TCCCAACAAGCGCTTGATTTAACGTCACGACACGACGTGAATCACTTTCTGCCTCCACTTTGAACTTATGAATCGGACCCCAAGTTTTGATTCTGCTCTATGATCATGCTCCTAGGGTGGTGGAACGAATCTGACTGGCCCAATAAAATAATGTAGTATTTTGCACTTCTTGGCCTTTATATGAGGTGTGTAATCCCGACTTTCTGGTAAGAAGAATTCCAGAATGTAAGCACTTTGTTCCTCATTCCTTGACTCCTCAAATGGCTCGGACGACTCTATTTCCAAATCATCATATAAACACAATGTGGAAAAATGCTTGGAGTGAGGACCAATGCGCTCAACTACATGAACATTGGGACTGTCTACATTCTCAATACTAATGACAATAGAGTCAACTAAATATGTATCCTCAATATCCTTGGTTGACTCTAGTATCTCTTCTACAACATCGACATCCTCAAAATCTAGTGCGATTGATTGTTGGTGTTCTACTCTAGCCTCCTCCTCTAGCTCATCAATTTCTGTATCTAATTCACGCTCTTCTTGGATACTATTCATAATATTGGCTTGTTGAGCATTAAAAACTTCAAGCAGTTGACTCATGTGAACTTTCAAGTTGTGAATAGTTTCCTCCTGCCTTTCTATCCGCAGTAGTAATTTACTCTGTTGTTCCAAAATGCACTTTAACATATCTTCGAGCTTCTTTAGGTCAGCTTCCCTAGGTTCTTTGTTCCTATTAACTTCACCAGAAAAAGAAGAACCATCAAATTAAGGGGTTGGGGGAAGGTAAGAAATATAAGCACAACCGTGAAATTGACCATCTTGACCACCACACATATCACACACATTCCACACATAAGATTGAGTTGGTGCACAAAACTCGCTCTCAAGAATATTTTGATAATTTTGCCCTGGGTGGTTTCCTTCACAATATGCATAAGCAGGATCAAAAGTAGAAATTACCAACAACAAAATTCTCATAATTCCATGATGTCATGTTTCTCAAATAAACAAATAAAACTAAAATACAAAATAAAAAAAATCAAATAATAAAATAAAAGTTAAAACTTGAAACCTAGCATTATGTACACCTACAACTACACAGTTAGTTCCCCAGCAACGGCGCCAAAATTTGATCACGCCCAACTCTAGTCCTAAAAAGGATAAGCGGTCACTGCAAATATAATCCGGTTTACAAGTCCGGAGTCGAATCCCACAAAGAACTAAGGCTTAGCTATAGTTGTTCAATATCGCTAAGAAACACAAGTCCAAACAATTTTCTAATTATAAAGATTATAATATTTATTTTTATCTACTTAACTAACAAATCTAGAAAACCGTAAAACTATCAATTAACAAGGATAATGATTGGAGTCAAGATTAAGGGGTCTAGAGTTATGATTTTCTCAATTGTCGGAATCCTTCCCGCTACATTTTCTATAAATTCACCTAAGTATTCTCTACCGATCATGAGCGCTCTGACTGTCGTAACTCTCTCCCGAGTAATTACCATAATTTACTAGACGCACTCTCCCGAGTTATGCTAGCTGGCTTTGTTTATTATAGCTCACTTTAGATTGCACCCAAGGCTTCGTTATCCCTAATCCCGCATTTAAACCCGCAGTTATAGATCCCTCTTATTCTTTGGGAGTGATGTTGTTCAACAACTACCTAAATATGCACTCTCTCCCGAGTTATGCACACTAAATAGGCACAACTAATTGAGGATCCTGTCAATTAACTACAACAAACACGTAGTTGAACAAATAGAGAAAATACTACGGCTAAATTATATAAAAATAACAAGAATTTATCCTACAAAAGGTTCCATCAAAACCCTAGATAACAAATTAGCTATTCATAATAGCATGTAAAACTACAATACTAAAAGTCATAACCAACAATGAAAAATAGGAAGAGGAAGGAAAAACTCGTAGAAGAATTCCCCGCCTTGCTCCTAGCGTGTTCTTGCCTCCAAGGGTGTTGTCTAACCCTAAAATAGTGTCTCTCCTCCACAATAGCCTCCCTAGGTCTAAGATATGTCAATAGTATGTCCAACCTCCTCAAAATAGCATTTTACATGTATTTATACCAAGTACGGTCGAGCCCAAATGAAAAAAACCCATTCCTGTGCAAACTAGGACTTAGCTTTGTAAAAATTGAACAGCCGCGCCGCAGGCTGCGCCGCACCATGCGGCGCGGTAGTGCATTTTATCTGCAGCTTCATATTTTCGAGTCAGGCACAGTTTTACACTACTGCGCCGCGCCTTGCAGCGCCCTATGCGGCGCGGCAGTGTACTTTTCTCAGAGTGAACTTATTTCGTCCTCTTTTAACATCCGGACTTGGTACACGACCTCCGAACACGATCCCGGCTTAATGTATTGGGCTTTTACTCAGACTTCAAAGCTCCAAATTGATCAATTTAGCTCCAAATTAGCTTTTGAGCTCAGGATCACTTCCTGCAAGGCATAAAACACGTACTAAGTGCAATTCACTATCATTTGAGCTCAAACTCAATTAAAGTGGAGTAAATTAGAGTGTAAGAAGCGACTAAAATATGCAATAATAGCCTATCATCAACAGCTTCTAAACCAATTAGGAAATCAGCAAGAAAAGATGGAGTTATTTTAGAAATCGTTTGATATAGTTGTTCGCAATTGCGAACTCCCCTGCCCCAGACCAGCATCGCAAATGCGAGAATGATCTTGCAACTGCAGTCATCGCAAATGCGATGAAATCCTCGCGAATGCGAGAACTGAAACACCAGCACAACTGAACCTCTTCTAACACTCCGAAATGCGTACGAATCTCACCCGAGCCCTCGGGGCTCCAAACCAAAGACCCGCACAAGTCTGAATACATAACACAAACTCGCTTGCGCGATCGAAACACCAAAATAACCTCTAGAACCACGAATCGGATGCCAAAACGCATGAAAATCACTGTGAACTTCAAGAACTTCTAGATTTGCAACCAAGCGTCCGAACCCTATCAAATCAACTCCAAACGACACCAAATTTTGCAGGCAAGTCCCAAATACCATAACAGAGCTGTTCCAATTTTTGGAATCGCATTCCAACCTCGATAACACAAAAGTCAACTATGGGTCAAACCTCTCCATTTTCCGAACTTCAACTTTTCCAACTTTCGCCGAAATCCATTAAATCACCCTACGGGCCTCCAAACCCAAATCCGAACGCACGCCTAAGTCCAAAATCACCATACGAAGCTACTGACATCATCCGAAACTCTTTCCGGAGCCGTTTACTCAAAAGTCAAATTCCGGTCAAATTTTTACCGCTTAAGCTTCTAAAACTAGATTCCTTCTTCTAATTCGACTCCGATTCATCCGTAAACAGATTCCAACCACGCACGCAAGTCGATACACATAATATAAAGCTGCTCCTGACCTCAAACACCGAACCGGATGCAATTTCTCAAAACGACCAGTCGGGTCGTTACAATTTCATTGTGGTCCCTTTCCTTTTTACTTCTTTGTCTTTTGTTAAAGACAAAGTGTCCCTTATTGGTTGTGGAAAGTCACTTCCTTCTCTTTATATTGATTTTCTCTTGTTGGGCTTGTAAAGAGCTAGTAAAGGGAATGGTCTCGCGCACATGGAAAATTGATAGATTTGCCCCTCCCCCCATTCAAATATGATTTTGCTAAAATTTATTTCTTTATTTTTTGAGCTTACCAGAAAAGTGTCCAAATACATGCTTACCAGAACATGTCCAAATTCATTCTCTTTTGAATTGAATTTTGTAACGTTTGTAACAACTATAATTTAATTTCTTGTAACTGTTACTTGAATCTTGTAACTCCTAAAATTCTGTAACAACTTTTTTATTTCATAACCCCCAATTAAATTCTCCTTCTTGTAACAGCTCTAGCATCTTATTTATATTAGGAGTTGTTTTGTGAAGTTTTCAAACATAGAAAAAATACTTTCATCTCTCTTCTTCTTCAGCCGAATCTTGGGCAATTATTTTGTGTAAATTCCAAACTTTCAGCCATGAGAGTGCACGTGTTTGAAGGTGTCGTGGAACCTTGGGGAGCGATTGGTCTTAACGATTTGCACTCAGTCGGGCCGAAATCGCTTTCAAGGCAGTGGCTTGCCGCGGCACAATATTTTTCGATAAGTTGTTCTTGTTTCCATTTTTTCCTTATCAATATTATCTACTCATTTTTCTTCCAACTACGTCCGCCCGGTAGATCCTTTAACATGTGAAGGCCTCGACAGGTATTTGAGACATTTTGCAAAGGTCTGTAGTTAAAATAAAAGGGGTAATGTTACATTATCTTTCCAACCCGAAGCACTCTAACATAATTTCTATATCACCCGGAGGTAAAATAGAAAGCACAAAGGATCACATGAACAATTAAAATTTTCAGATGGCTATTCTTATCTTGATTAATTTTTAACTGCAATAAAATTATATTTGAGTAGGTTAACTATAGAAGGTTTATATATTTCTCGAAATAGGCTGAAAATTCCATACCTACTGTTTATATCAAGTTTAGGTTTTCATCATCATGTGATAGTAGGAGTACGTACAAAATATTTAAGCAAAAAGACACGTGATATATTTAAAATCTAAAATTGCGTACTAGTACTAGCCCCGCGCCCTCATCCTTTACCTTCTGATTCAATCGACTAAAAGTCAAGAAATTTTACAGACTGGTTTTTCAATTTATCACATTCCTATTGGTTGACAATTCATAAGCACAACAGATTATTGTCTAAGCTAATCTAGACGTTTGCACTTATTTCTTTCGGTGATAAAACCATTCAAATGTAGTTCTCCATACGGAATGCCTAACTTTATAAGAAATTCAAAACACGGTAAATTAAATTTCAATGTTTTGACTTTTCTCTACCCATTTAGCATACTTTAACAAAAATTAGGCTCTCATTTTTCCAAAAGTTTGAAAAGCAAAACTCAAAACGATCACATATGCCATACATTTCAACATCGGCTTCTATAAATATGTAAAACACTTGGCCCCTAATATTTCATGCATTAACCATATCCTTAAAAATGAAGAAAATATCAAGGATTTTATTGCTTTCTTGCCTCCTATTTTTAACCTTATTCCAGGTAAAAACTGAACCAGTTCTTGATACTAATAAACAAGCAATCCGTCCAGGTTACACCTACTACATTTTGCCGGCAACCACCGCCGCCAACGGCGGTGGCCTAACGCTAGCGAAAGGCGAAAACGGGAGCTGCCCGCTCGACGTATTTCAAGCACAAAATGTTCAGAGCAAAGGCCTCCCTTTAAAATTCTTAATGGTGAATTCAAGTGCAGGGCTAGTAATTGACGAAAATGAAGACATAAATATAAAATTTGCAGCACCAAGGTACGTGTCTATTTGCAATAAATCCACTGTTTTGAAAATTGAAGACGGGTTTGTGACCACTGGAGGAATTAAGGGTGGGTCTGAAAATGGCACGGCCACAAGTTTGTTTACTATTCAGAAATATGAAGATGCCTATGCGTTACAGTATTGTCCAAGAGCTACAGGGTGTTCTTTTATTTGTCCAAGATTGTTGTGTGGGTATATTGGTATTGCACCTGCAGCTAATGGATCGAGGTGTTTGGCTGTAAATCGTCCAATTTTCAAGATTGTGTTCAAGAAGGCCTAAGATACATAAGCGAATTTTTCACAATTAAATATTTATAATAGATGTGGATTTCCTAATACATATATAAGGTACGAGTAAAGCTATTCGAATTATGTGAATGAATAATTATAAGCTAGGTTTGACTCTATTAAGATGTTCATAGCTAGTAACATATATAGTCAAAATAAATAGCAAGCCCTGATGTTATATTTTATTGGTGTAGGCCATATGCATGTTATGCATGAGGTGTTTCATATTGATTTGTCATCTTAATCCACAGGAATAAATGCTTGATATATATTTGATAAATGTATATTTTTAGCCGCTCCAAAAAATAACAACCGGCACAATATATATTTTTTTGTATAAATGTGTATTATATACAAAAAAAAGTACATATTTTATTTACTTTTTGGCTGGTGAATGCAATTAGTTTCAGCTTATTGGCCAATTTATATATATATATATATATATATATATATATATATATATATATATATATATATATATATATATTTCTTGTAGCTTACCTTTTTGTTATTTTGATTTATTATTATCCTAGTTTCCTTTTCCTGTTGAATTGATTAAAAACTATGTTTATCAATTTAACATGTATCAAATTATTACTACTTTATTTTTTTATCTTTTGCAGATTATCATGCATATTTGACTTGCTATGAAGAGTTTTTGTTGGTTATTTATATCTTTTACAATTACATACGGGTGGTTAAAGGAAAAAGAGACGGGACAGTAAGGATTGTGTGAAAGTCTTAAAAAGATACACCAGATTATAAAGCTTTAGTTTGCTTTGCTCAAAGAAGTTATTTGTTATTAAACTATTTATACTATTAATGCAAAAGAACTTAAGATCCATGGAATTTTTTTTTTTGTTATATATAATTAAAATTTTTACAAAAAACAGTTTAGAAAAACTATCAATGTGTGCAATTTAACCAATAGCAGGTTATTACTTAGTTTTCTAGGTTAATTAGCATATAGATTTGCCGTTTAGAATTACTTGTTATAAATCAACTTATCTGATAGTGTGAAATAAACATATATTATCAGTACACAAAACTTAAATTGCATGTTAATTTAGGTTATATCCACCAACCACCATGCCAAAGATTCAGTGACGATTTGTGAATATAAAACAATGGTAGTGTCGACAGATGCGGATCCAGGATTTTAAGTTTATGGGTTCCTGTCGCAATTTCAAATTAATATACGATAATAACTGGGTTCACAAATAATATTTATAGATATTTAATAATTTTTTTTAACAAAAATACAGGGTCTACGCAAAAGTTACTGGGTTCCGGGAACCCGTATCTTACACCCTAGATCCGCCCCTGAGTGTCAAAGCGGATGGAGTCGCATCTCTTGTCCTCAGAGACGAAGCCATGTGGTCACAAGGGTGGTAAATTGATCACCCTTCGTCGAAAAATTACACTGTGTATATAAGTAAAATATAACGTTTTTGTTATAAATAGAATTGTATTTATGGTGAATGTCTATATTTAGAGAGATTCTAGGGTTCATTGTTTGGTGGTTAAGTCACCCTCTCCCTATAAATAGAGGGTTCTATTCTATTGTAATTCATCCCAAAAATTCAATAAGAATTTCCTCTCTCACTTTCTCTGCAATATTGTTCTTCTTCTTTTATTATTTTATAACACGTTATCAGCACGAGACTCTAACCAATTGAGTAGAAGCTTTGGGATTGAGCATAATGATTGTCAATTATTCCATAAACTTCCTTCATGATTAAATTTTGGATTTAAGGTAAGTATTTTACTTTATTTTTCTCGTTTAAATTCTTGACATTCTATAATTTGATTTTAAATACAAGCAAAGACGATAAATTTTGATTATAACTCTAATGAAGTTACTAAGAAATTATAACCACTCGAAGTGGTAAAATTTCTATGTCTTGCAATGATCAAAGTCATGTATGATCGTGAGTAGAAGAAGTGGAAACACGTCCCATTGAATTTGCTTCATTCGCATTCCCTTAAGAGAATGTGATAGCAGTATGTGATAAGTCTGAAAGAAGACAAAATTATTACCATGAAGGTATCAATGGATGTGGACGTGGTATTAGACGAAATTATAATCGTCATCATTGTGATAGTGAGAATAATAAGGATTCTCAAAATAATCCTTCACTCCGTGAAAGTAATATTTGTCATCGATTTGACATGAGATTTATAAAGCACATATAGATGATTATGGTCCATTCATGATGTGAATGTGACAACATCTGATTTATGAATACATATTCATTCTTCAAAGAATATGAACGTGCTAGTGGTAGTGAATATACCACACTCACCTCTAGAAGGAGGTTTGAGATGATATAAGAAATCAATGTCATTATTATGGCATGAATGGTCATTGGTCACGTACCTATTGTACGCCAAAATATTTTGGCAATGTGATTATTAAAGGACAACAATAATGCAAGAAACATATCTCGCATGTAATTTTGACCATGACCATAATGGTATAACTTTCTCCTTAAAAGAGATATTCACCATGTAGATGTTAATGAATATGTGATAGTACAAAATTAATTGAGAACTCTGCAAAAGCCAATTATACTATTTTGGAGAAACACAATTGATTACCAATAAGGTATTGTGTCGTAGTAAGTCTCAAAGAAACTTATTCAGTTTCCAAAGTATAGCGAAAGCGGTTGGTTATATTGAGACTATAAATAAACGAAAGATTTAATATCTTCTATTACTACAACTTGCAGCGGGGTAATATGTATGTGAAAAGCTACCCGCTTTATTCTCCAGTTTGTACTACATAAACAAATAAAAGAATACCACAATAAAATCGAAGTTTATTGATTTAAAAACCCATATCATAATAAACTTGGAGTTTATTGATAATTGCACACATCATGGTGTAAATATGAAGTTTATCAATATTGATAATTTATTCAGTTGACATAATTGGTTTACCCATATCAATTTAAATATGATGTGCAAAAATAAAAGAGAATTCACATGGGTAAATATTAAAGAACTAGAAAGTTCTTTACGAATTCTATTATGTTGCCTGTTCTCATTAATTGATATACCAACTAAAATTGAGATTGAATCCCATGAATGCTGGAAATTTCAAAGGTGAATATGGGCCCATTCATCTGCCATGTATACCACATAAGATGCATCTATGAGATGGTTACATGTGCGATTATTATTAACCCGCAACTTGGCCGGTGTTTGCGAGGTAACTTGCTCACTAATTTAATTTCGAGCATAATTTCCAGATTTGCTATTCAAGAAGTTCATCTTGATAAGTTGGTTTAAATCACAGTTGGTTTAGCAAAATGATTTATTAAGTGCCTCTACTTAATAGCTAAACAAGTGCTTATGAGAACAAAGTTATCTATATCAGTTTGATATAGGTTATATACGAAAGTATATTACATTCTCCCCTCACAAGTGGTTCAGGGTAAGGAACCAAATAATTACATCTTATTATAGTTGATGTGCGGTGTATATTTTGACTAACATCATAACGCACAAAGATGGATTCTCAAAGTTGAGGAAACAAGTTAGTTTTTCTAACATGAGGGGGAGACATGATAAACAGTTGAGAAAAAGTTACATGGAATGAATTATCATTTATACATCTATATCCCCGAATAAAATAATATGAACTTGAAGTTCATAAAAGGATAATTCATTTGCAATTTATTGCAAAGCATGCCAGACGCATTTGCTGACCCAAAGAAAGTAACTATATTCTCATTGCAAATGCTCTTATTAAGTCCTAGAAGGACAACGTCTATGGTACGCTTCAAGCATATAGACAAATCGGTTTCAAATAAACTTCTTAATATAGAAGATGAGCAAATGATCAAAATGATCATAATAAGGAGGCAAGTGATCTAGAAGATCACATGACATAGCACTTCATAAAATCTCAGGAGAGATTCAGGTACCGTAAATATGAATGGAGAGATCTCTATGTCATGTCTTTATGAAAAATAAGGAGGTTGGAACCGATATAAAATGTTTGTCGACGACATCTATGATAGCGCTAAATATATATATAAGAGGATCTTAAGTCTAAAGAAACAATTCAAGTAGAATTGGTTTCATATGAACGCCATGTAGTTTTGAACATGTAGTTCAAACACTTGAAAGTATAAGTCAATGGTATGTGCAATCAGTTTTCGATATCTTATATGTCTAGCATGACATGAAAACTTGATATGCATCTAAAGTCTATTATATGGCTTATATGACTTAACAATCCCTAAAGGATTTAAATTGCTTAAAGCATATAAAATTCATGATCATGAAGTACCACTTCCTTAGTGCAATTTGTGCACAAATGTATCTTGCTATAACTATATGCATGATAATATGATAGCAAGAGTTTTCACCCCTATGTGAAGATATTGAAATGATGATTCCAACAAGATCATATGAAGACAATACATCTATCAGGGATGATAATTTCAAGGTGAAACAAATTCGTTGAAGTTAATATGGCTGATATTGTTTATCAAATATCTACCAAAGATCTTTTCAAGATGGTGCACAAGATTGGAATGCAAATGCTTAAAGATGTGAATTGCTGCTCTCATCAGGGGGAGTTAATACGTGTTGTACTCTTTTTCCCTCACAAGGTTTTGTCCCACTGGGTTTTCCTTGCAAGGTTTTTAACGAGGCAACCAAAAGGCGTATTGTTAGATATGTGTACTCTTTTTCCTTTACTAGAATTTTTTTTCCCACTGGGTTTTATTTTAGTTAAGGTTTTAACGAGGCACATTATCTGTTGAATAGACATTCAAGGGGGAGTGTTATAAATAGAATTGTATTTATGGTGAATGTCTATATTTAGAGAGATTCTAGGGTTCATTGCTTGGTGGTTAAGTCACCCTCTCCCTATAAATAGAGGGTTCTATTCTATTGTAATTCATCCCAAAAATTCAATAAGAATTTCCTCTCTCACTTTCTCTGCAATATTGTTCTTCTTCTTTTATTATTTTATAACAGTTTTAGATATATATAACACATATTGAACACCCTTTGTTATAAATTTTTTTATTTCTTACAAATTTGAATACCCATAAAGAAATGCCTAGCTTCACTGTCCTATACTAGTGTAGTGTCTGCATAGAGGAAACAGAGTAGAAATCAGATGCAATCATAGTGGCAAAGGGCATCTGATTGCTCATCACAATTCATAGGGCTGAATCGACAAAGGTGCGCTCCATTTCCAGTGGGATAACAATTAAATAACACTGTAGACGTTTAAATTTTATTGGATTTAAATCCATAAAAT